AAAAGACATGGGAAGATAAGACACTGCTCTGAAGATTTAGAAGCAACACATAGTTCTAAAAATGATTTTTTGTAACAAGCAGATGCAGTCTCCTGAAGGAGAGCCAGGACAATATGACCTCTATAGTGAGAACAAGCTGAAACAAGGCAAAAATTGCTGAAGTCGAAGTCAGCTGAAATAAGATGATAGAGAAACCTAAAATGGAGGAAGTAAAAGAACAAAATTGATGTAGCAGTTTTGATTAATTCACTCATGAAATATTTATTGAACCTACTATGTGCCTGCTATTCTAGGCACTTATGCAGTAGTGAATAAAACATACAAAGCAACTATGAAAGATCCAACCTAAAAGTTACAAGGTTTCTAGTGAAAAATATTAGGAAAACAGGTGTAGAAACAACCTTTAAGGTTGCTAATTTCATTGATTTCCAGATAATATTAGTTCAACCCCCCCTTCTAGATATATTCTGGTAATTTAAAATTTTTATTCCAAGCAAAAGGAAAAGTCCTAATAGGATCTAGGCGGAAACAAAGTTATCTGTGTTGGAACGAAAATCAAATTGGCCTCAGACTTCATTTTCTTCCTCTTGGAAGGAGAAGAAAGTGTATGGAGAAGAATGAAGTACATGGATTTTGTTACAGACTTTTTACTCCTATGTGCTGGAAAGTTGCTTTAATAAACATACAAACCTACAATGTCTGTGATGTGAATGGCATTTTCCAGGGCTTTGCTGTGCATACAACTTTACAGGGATCCTGAAGATGGTGGAGAACATAAGGTTGCCTTCCCAAGAATTCTATGCCTGCCAAGTTGCCATTCATGTGTGAGGACTTGCACACATGTAATGATTTGGAAAATAGGATACTTCCTCAGAAAGCCACTCAAAGATGCACACTGAGCAAAAAATGCAAATCGAGCTCCAAAAAAATGTGAAAACCACAGTAGAAAAGGAATAGAGGTAAAGACTGAAGCCAATAAAATATATAAAGAAATATAGATTATGTATAACTGCTCATGTGTGTATAATTATAAATTAAATACAACAGCCAAAATCTATTCTCAAAAATAAATTATACAAAATGGTAAAAGAAGAACCAGGGTCTGTAATCCCAGATTAATTTAAAACAGGTCACAGTAGGGGCACCGGGGTGGCTCAGTCAGTTAAGTGTTCAACTCGTGGTTTTGGCTCAGGTCATGATCTCAGGGTTGTGGGATCGAGCCCCACGTAGGGCTCAGAATGGAGTCTGGTTGAGATTCTTTCCCCCTTCTTTTCCCTCCCCCTCTGCTGCTCTTCCTGTTTGTGCGTGTTCCCTCTCTCAAATTAAGATAAATAAAAAATAAATAAAACAGGTCACAATAATTTAAATTGATTCTGACATAAGAATCAACAGATCAGTCATGTAGACTAGACTAGAAAGCTCTGAAAGAAAATCTGGAGCATATATGTAAGAATGCTAAGGTACAACAAAGAACTAAAAATCCGTGGTAAAGGGGTACCTGGGTGGCTCAGTCGTTAAGCGTCTGCCTTCGGCTCAGGTTGTGATCCCAGGGTGCTGGGATTGAGCCCCGCATCGGGCTCCCTGCTCTGCGGGAGGCCTACTTCTCCCTCTCCCACTCCCCCTGCTTTTATTCCCTCTCTCGCTGTCTCTCTCTGTCAAATAAATAAATAAAAATAAAATCTTAAAAAAAAAATCCATAGTAAAGAGTATTGGGAAAATCGATTCAGTATTTAGAATTATATTAAATATAGATTCCCTCACCATGTCATATATTAAATGACAGGTGGATCAAGTTTAAGGAAAGAAATTAAATCATTAAAATATTGAGACATAAATGTGGATGAATATTAACCATACTCAGGCTAAGTAAGGACTTTGAACACAAAAGTAGTGGACATAAAGGCATATATCAATAAATGTGACTAATTATAAGTTATATTCAACAACAACCAAACCCTAAATAATTTAATGACCACAACAATCTGGGGAAGATATTTGTAACAAAATTTGGCAACAGGTTCACATCCATAACATCAAGAAAAATATTAAGCTTATTAGTAGACTTTTTTTCACTTACCAGTTGATAGAATGAAACTTCTCTGACCTCACTGATGTCTAAAGACTTTTTTCAGTGATTGTATTTACTATTGGCTATGGTTATAGAGTGTGTGTTCTTATATATTGCTGAAGGGAACTGTGAAATGATGTATTTTTGTATATCCATTTTGGCAGTATTAGGAGCCTTTAATGTTCATACCATTTGACCCAGATATATCACCTGCAGAATTTACTCTATGGAAATAAAGACACAGATGTCAAAGTATATTCAGAGTTAAATAACAGTCCATTAAAAAATAATGGTTTTAAAAATTATTTAATGACAGATTAAAATATAGCTCATAAAATATCAAGTGAAATAAAAACATGTAACACCGTACATAATATTACTATTCCAATTTGAGAAAAGTTTACTGGGAAAAAATAAACCAAAATGCTAGCAATGGTTATACCTTTTATATTTTATGTTTTCTGTAATGAGTTTGTATTATTTTTATAAGCAGCTTGAATGTGAAATGTCAAATTCTTTCCAGCATTTTCTGCTCTTAAACGCATGTAGTTTCCACTAAACATTGAGTTGATTTTATGTAGAAAACTTCATGTTTCACTCATTCTTTAAGTAAATATATAAATTGTATTGAGTAAATGAGAGAGAGAGAGAGAGAGAGGGTGTGTGTGTGTGTGTGTGTGTTGAGACAGGATTTCCATGGTATTGGTGAAAGGATGAATAATAAACATTTTATTTGACCCATTTTCAGGCAACTGTTTTATACAATGAATTCTATTTATGAGATGCCAGAAATTAATCAGTTTCTTTCTTGAAGATGATGTAAATAAGTTTGTTGTAAATGTAAATTTGTAGTCCTATCATGGGCGAATTAGAACTAAGGAAGACCTTTTATAAAATCAGACAACGTTAACACTTAGGATGCAATAGAAAGGTGCCTTGGCATGTGATATAATGAGTACTGGGTATTATATAAGACTGATGAATCACTGACCTCTACCTCTGAAACCAATAATACATTATATGTTAATTAATTAAATTTAAATTAAAAAAGATACCTTGGGACTCCATTTAGAGTGCAATATAGGATGAAGCATGACTTGGAAGATCTCTCAGCTGAAATGTGAGCAGTTTTTGTTTTTTTTTTTAAGATTTTATTTTTATTTATTAGAGGGCAGGGGAGGGGTAGAGGGAGAAGCAAACTCCTTGCTGAGCAGGGAGCCCGATATGGGGCTTGACATGGGGCTCTACACGGGGCAGGATACCAGGACCCTGGGATCATGACCTGAGCTGAAAGCAGACCCTTAACCAACTGGGCCACCCAGGTGCCCTGAAATGTGAGCAGTTTTACTCCCTTCCTGGGTGCATATCATGCTGCCTCTTTGTGTCTGGAGCCGAGTTTCCTGATAGTGTTTGTTCTTTCTCTTATGCCATTTGTAGTTTGCTGGCTAGAGCCTTTTGAAAAGGAGCAGTGTAAGAAAATGGTTATCACTGTGTTAAGAGGGAGTAGCATACCTCGCAGAGTTACCTGCTACTACCTGTACTAATATTCTAGCTGATCATCCCCCACATCACTTTGAATTTGCAGTTATTTCTTCCCAATAATGAAACACTTCCAATATCAGAAAGTACCTGGAAGGCTGAGTACAAATAAATTGTATCCCAGAAGCTGTCTGTACTCTACAATTCTATCAATCCTCCGTTAACAACAAAAATGTAATACTCGTAAGAACCTTTTTCCTCAGTAGCCTATAGCACTTTCAGATGAATTTTTTTCTCCTATAACAAAGATGAAAGCTGGTATTTTCTTATTTCACGGGGCAGATGAGAAACAGAAAGGGTTTGATTTTACAGACCTAGTTACGACTCAGGGTTTGTCGTTGAGCATAAGAATTTAAATGGTCATTCCTCCCCCCGTCCCCCGCTTTCATGATCCCCCTTTGCTTTTATAAACAACTAAAAAAAAAGTGTTTATTTTTAATAAGTTAATGATTTATATCTTGTTATTGCCTGCTATTTTGTGCATTTTTAAAGCCTTTGTTTTGATGTGGGGACACTCTTTTATTAAAAGATTTGCTCCTACAGATCTGAAAGTGTACCCACTTAGAGTACAAAAAAGCAGACCTGAGTCATTCAGAAGACCTTTCTATATAACATGTTGGCTTTGAAGAATCTATATATTATTTTGCCAAAAGCTTTTTTTATTCCTTTTATAGACCAGAATTAGACATGAGTTATTTAACCTCATGGTGCTTAGTTCTGAGCATTTCCATTTCCTTTCCAGCCCTTATATTTTTTTGAAATGTTTCAGTTTAAAGTAGGGTTCTGCTCACAAACTACTTCTGTTCAGGAGACCGAAATAAGGGCAGGAGGGGAGGTAGTGATTGGTATTTGGCGGCAGATGTTTGTCTCTCTTTGGGTTTGAAATGACCATCAATAGGGGAGAACTGGTGAACTGGATAGTTTGTTAGGAAAAGTTAAGTGAAGGGAGGAGACTTTCTTTCAAGGGGAATTCTGCTACCATCAACTACCGAGTATTGTAGAAGCCTTTTCTCTGCTATAGAAGTCCAATTAAAGTGTGTCCCTGAGTTTCAGAAGGAAGTACAGATGATGGTATATTTTATTGTCAGTCATCCTGACATTTTTGTGTAGCCTCAATACCTCGACACTTCTGGTTTATCCATGGTCTATCACCATCTCTGCTCTTGGTCCCCTTCTCTCTCCCCCTTGTTTTTTTTCCTTTTCTGACAATGTCTGTAGGATGGTAAGAAAGAGAATTTTGGAACCATGAAATGAGGGACTGGGAAAGAAGACGATCTATTGGTTTACTTTCTGGTTTCTTGCTGTTCTGTCCCCAAATATACCCCCAGACAATTGGGATTCCCAGTTTTAGAAACACTGGGAAATGACTTTCTGCCTCTTTTTTCCTTTGCAGGAAACACATGAAATTGTGGCAATCAAGAAATTCAAGGACAGTGAAGGTATATATATATATATATATTTTTTTTTTTCTTTTTGTATTTAGTCCTTGTGAATAGAATGTGGAAGAGATGGGATCTAGCTAACTAGACTTTGTTCCTGAAATTTTAAAGTGTCCATCTCAGAAAGTGAGTATAGCTTATTTATTATCATGTTTTGCTTTGAAACATTTGGCTCTTTCTGTGTGAATCTTTTCATATTTCATGATACTAGAAAATTTATCTTATATTTTAAAGTACAGTCAACATTGTGGAAATCTTGCTTCAAATGCTGAGTAGAAGGCATGCTATTTATGCTATTCCTTAATATTATTAAAATGAGAAAACTGATTTGAAATAAATACTTTTGTGAGTTCACACAAGTAGTAAGTGCTGTGTGAAGGGCTTTGGTATTGGTTACTGTGATCTCCAGTTTCTAGTCAATTAGAAATACAAGGATAAGTGGTATGTAGATGGTACCAAGAAAGTGATTATATATTTAAAATAACTCATTGGAAGAATAAAAGCTTTTCAAGAAGAAATACCATAGTTGGAGTCCTTGGTTACATCCAGACCATTTCAGATGGAGTATTAAAATTACCCTATGCTGGGCAAGAAAATTTAAAATAAAGCACTAAAAAAAAATAGTGTACAAAATATAAATAAATAAAGCATTTCAGTAGTTCATTAGGTTTTAAATCTAGACTATTGCCCATCTAAAGATAGCCAAGTAGAAAAATTTACCATGAAGGCACACATGGCCTTTCAGAAGCTCTAGGCAGCATTTCCCCAATTTTTTTTTCCTACAGAGACCCACAGAAATACTTTTTTACATTCTAATCCAGTATCCACATACATAATGTCCTATATATAACTGAAGCAAAAATGTCACAAAACTATTACACTAACGTGAGGTTCTTCGTTTTCTGTTCTTTCCTGCTCATATAAATTCACATCAATGCCTATTTGTGGCATCAGATAACATTGATTTTTACCACTGAATCATAACCTACTTTGAAAAATAGCACTAAGAGGCACCGGCGTAGCATTAACTTTCCTGTCTAACTGGACGTATGACAATAGCAGTCATAGCCTACCTCCATCAGCACACATTGACTAAGTACTGTAAGACACCAGCCTCTATATTTGTGAACAGTTTCATCACTCCTACTTTAGACACTTAGTAAACATTAAATAACCAAAAGGGCTCACTAACAAATAACGAAGTCCTGGGGTAGATTCAGTAGTATTTGATATAACCCACCTCTGATGTGCTGGTTATGTGGAGCACATCACATCATCTGGGAAACCTTAGCAGCCATTGTCTTGCCAGCCTTAAAGAGAAGGCAATAAAAAATGCTTTTTAGCTTGTTCTAAAGAAAAAAAAAAAACCTGCTTCAAATGATGTACCTGTAGTCTAACAGGAAACAATAGCCCCAGGCCAGTCCACTCTGAGACCATTGGCAATGAGCTCTTTGAGCAGTGGCTTTGGGCTAACCACAGGTGGCCAAGAGACAAATGGTGATCTACTAAAAAGAGTGGTTGCAACAGTAGATCAAAGCATAACCTTTGCCTTCGTGTAAAGACTTCTGGCTGTGCATTCATCTTGTAAGGCAAACCGTCAAGCATTGGTTACCACCAAAAATAATAATTGTCACGAAGTTTTTGAAAGGCAGTACAATCTAGGTCACGTATGCCATTGCTTTAAAAAAAAAAAAAAAAAAAAACAACTAAGTGCCACATTCTTCACAATCCCTGTTCTGTGCATACCTATTCTTAGCTTCAGTTAAACAATGTGTTTGTACCTGTGTGCTGATACCTTCAGAGTGGTAATCAATAGCGTAGCTGTTGAAATTTATTGAGCACTGAGCCAGGTGCTGCAAGAGACATGAGGGTAAATCAAGTGTGGGTAATTTCAGGAAGCTTAGTAGAATTAAGACCTGTAAATAAAGAGCAGTAAAACAGAGCAGAAAGCAGTCAGTGCCTGAATGAATTTGAATAATTTTGAGGCAAGAGACATTGTTTCTAGCTGTGGCATCCAGGAAGTGTATGAATAGTCTAGACATTATACGAAACATTTGATCAGCCTTCATTTCTGTGTGCTGACAAAGCATGAATCCCCTCTGCCCTCATCTCTGCCAGACCATTATTAGTTACCATACCTTACGGACACGCAACCTTATCACCCAGCCACCTAGCAGACGGACACCTTTGTAGGATCACCCATATATACTTCCAGAGGGATACTTCCTTAACATTTCTATGATAGAATCTGAAGACATGCAATTATTCATAACTTTTTCGTTCCAGTTCTATTCTAGGCACACTTTCCTACTGTTTCCAGCTCTCCCTGGGAGATCTCATACTCTTCTTTTCTGCCTTTACCCTTTTCCTCTTACCTGAGTAGAATCTTGCTTAATAGAAGTAAGGGAATGTGTGCGGTGAACAGTCCTTTTGGAATGTGAAGTGCACATAGATAGTTCAGTACAGATGAGAATGTCCATTCAACCCCTGTGGAAACCACTTAATTCTGAACCATTTATCACCTTAAATTTCAGTCAGGACAATTCTAACAAAAATAGAGTTTCATCATAATATCCTTATTGTCATATAGCTCTCGTTAATTTCATTTATTAGTTACTCTGAAAATATTCTGTTGATACTATGTTAGTGAATTTTCTAAACCCAATGTTTAAAAATCTTTGTGAAGATCATGACATAATCCTATAAAAACATTGTTACACTGAAATAGGATCTGAACTTGGTCTGATTTGCATTCAAGCTAGTCAAGTATTCTCATACTGATGCTATCAAGGGATATTTTATGAGAGAATATATTCTGTTAGCTTTAAGAGATTGTGATCATGTCCTATTTTCTTAGTAAATTCATATATATCTACAAATTTGTATAAAATGTTTTTGAAACTACATTTTAAGGTAGACCACTATTTAATTCAAGCTGTCCTTGTTATCCCAGGATAATAGATGCTTATCTAAAATCGGAACCAAACTTTAATAGTAAATAAAAGGTTAGACTGGGGAGTGCCTGGATGGCTCAGTTGGTTAAGCGACTGCCTTCGGCTTGGGTCATGATCTCAGGGTCCTGGGATCGAGCCCTCTCCCACTTCGCCTGCTTGTGTTCCCTCTCTCGCTGTTTCTCTCTTCTGTCAAATAAATAAATAAAATCTTAAAAAAAAAAAAAAGAAAGGTTAGACTGGGACTTTAGGTTGGGAAAATGGAACAAAAATTATAAAAATAAGTTTATCTTATAGTTAATACAGTTTGGATTATAATAGCAACTATGTGCTATTTCTTAGAAAAAAAATCAAGTGTTACCTTTTTTGGGAGAGGGGCAATTTTTACAGTAAAACTGTAGGCTAAGTCAATGAATGACTTTCATAATAAAAAGAGGCTCATTAAAAAAATACACCAAAGGCTTTGTCAGTTTTCCCTTTGTCTGTCCCCGTCTTTCTGTCTTCATCCTGTCAGTTTTTTACTCTCCAGTTATTAGCTGTTACAACTCTGTCAGATCAATTATCAGTGTCTTTTGTCTATGATTTTCCTTGAAAGACTGACATACTGGGTGAAGATAAAAACTCATGTTAAAATGGAGGACTTGTGTAAGTGATGACATTTTTATCTGAGATCTCTTCATTAGTTAATACTTTGTTTTGATGACTTTTGCTTCTTTATTCATCATCATCAATGTAGAGTTTCAGATAATTAATTCTTTTTTTTTGAGAGAGAGAGCACACACATGCGAGTGGTAGAGAATGGGCAGAGGGAGAAGGAGAAAGAGAATCTTAAGCAGGCTCTAGGCCTAGCATGGAGCCCGAAGCATGGCTTGATCTCATGACCCATGAGATCACGACCTGAGCCAAAACCAAGAGTCAGACGCTTAACTGATTGAGCCACCCAGGCACCCCTATGAGTTTGTCTATTAATATAAGTTCCCACAAAGAAACATTAACTATAAACATCTAATCAACCAGGAGTCTTCATAGAATTAGTTCTACTTAGTATTTGGATTTTCTGAGAAGAGAAAAATGACCACAGACCAAAAAGTTACTAGAAATGATTTAGTTGAAAGATATTTTTTGGACTGTGTATAATGATAAATTTAGTCTAATTCATCTACCCTTCCTATAACTCCAATTTTGTACAATGAGATTCGATGTTCAGATGATAATCTTCTGTCACTGTTGGAAGATCATTCTCATGCACACACATGTACAAATGTCTGCCATCCTCAATTTATTGAATAATCCAAGAGCCATGATTTAGCCTAGATAGATTTGAATTAACAAGAATTAAAAATGTCGGTTCATCTTTTACTTGAGGAGGTCCTGTGATCTAGAATTTATTTTTGACATACATTTGGATCTTTTGGCGTGACATCTTTAGCTTCTTAGGACTTTTTAGTCTTTCCCTAAAAGTACAGGTGATGGGGTGAGGAGGGATCCTCCCTATGTCACTGGGCCTTGGTACATGGCAAGGAGGCTGATTCTGAGGGAGCTGTAGAGCAGTCCATAGTTAAGATGGAATTTAGGTTATGCCTCTGCTTGCATTTCATATCCTGCTTATCTTCTCTGTAGATAAATATTTTTTCTCTTGGAATGGACATACTTATTCTTTTTAAACATGAGAAAATGTTTAATTGGTCATTCCTTCTTTTCTCCAGTTTATTTCATCATTATTTTTACCCAGACTTTAGAAAGCTCTAGCCTGATCTCTGGTTTGAGGAAACTCTGATCTCATTCTGTATAATGGTACAAAACAAGAGTTCATAGTCTTCGGTCCTTAAATTCAAAAACCTGATTTCTCTGTAAATGAGGCCTTAAAACAAACTTTCCTACCTTTGCTTAAACAGAGAATTCAGTTAACTAAGCTTGAGCGTTCTGGCTCGTCATGATTTCACCACACTTCTTTTAATGTCCAGAATGGATCTCTTTCAAGCTTCAGGGATTCTTCTAGGATTTGATGAGCATTTGTACCTTTCATACTTTAATAAATTTCTGTTGTGCTCTACCCGGTCTTCATTGCCGAAGATTTAAGGATTTTCATCTTTTTTGGTATATATGGTAGCAGTACCGCCATTCAGCGCCCCGGGGCCATGTTAATTGCCCTCTTGTTGGTATTCCTTCTTTAGTCAGGGCAACCAGACTCAATCATGGTATCCTTATGGTTTTGTACAAAGATGGGTTGGCTTTTTTCCCCTCCATTGTACCCGTTTAAAGGTCCATTTTGCGGGGCCTCTTTGGCTATACAAGAATGTCAGGTTTGTGATTTCATAAAGTAGGTTACAGCTATTTCTGGATTTCTTTTTCAAGCGCACAGTTCTTTAAATATAGAGTTACAATAGAGTTTCTGCTCATCTTTAGATTCTTCTCTTTTCATTACTTACTTTGCATTTCTTTTGCTCCTGTGATTTTTTTTTTCTTAAAAATTGTTTTCTTTTACTTTAGTGAATCTCCCTTCTTGATTTTTAGTGTGTTAGCTTGCCTAACTGGCGAGCTAAAAGTAGGTTAGTTCTTTGTTTTTTTTCTTACTTAGCGTCCTTTTTCTACCCTGCCATTTAATCATCATTCAAAAAAATTTATGTAACATTGTCAGACTTGCTGCCCGGACTAAGCTAAACACCCTCACTGGTAACTGATGACCAGGTCCATCAACATGCACATAAGTAGGACTTGCATGGAAGCACCAGGTCTTAGAGCTGGAAGCACCCTCAGAATCATCTAGTAGAAGTCCAACTCCAGTTTACAGCCAAGGAATCCAAGGCCCAAAGGTGCATAGCTAGTATGTAATTACCTGGGAAAGATGCAGACCTCAAGATCTTTGTCGAGTTTTTCTTGGACCCATACCATATTGCTTTGCCACTCCGCTAAGCAGTAGCAGAGTGCAGACCTGCACTTGGGTGTTCTGACTCATTCTCTAAAGCTTGCTCACTACCTTACACCATGTTGCCTATGTCCCTGTGTTCTACTTAGTGTGGTGTTCCCTTCACTCATCCTGAGGAAGTTATTCTTTCTAGACTTGGTTTCTTCATTTGTAAACTGGAGAAGCCTAGCCTAAATAAAGAATCCACAGGATTATTTCAACTGGGAGGCAGGGATTTTTGTGCTCGTGTCAGTAGGCTGTGCTATCACCTTTGAAAAACTGCCTTGCTGAAGAGCTTGGCTACTTTCTGAACCTGAGGTGAGAAGCATGTGTAAGTGGAATGTGTATTGCCTTTCCCCATTATCTCATCATTTAGTCACAGTTTTGTCCAAGTACAGAGTAAGCCAGGAGCCTTAAAAGTACTTAGAGAAACAAAAATGGTAGGATAGACCAAGTAATGAAGAGTATGCATTTTGCTTGCACTTAGGGAATTAATAACTCCACTTCCTGCCTGTTCCCATTCACTGCATTCTTAGTGCCAAAGTGCTTACTTCAACTTTTACTATCTGTGACAGGCATACATTAGAGGAACCTTCATTTCCTAAAATAGATAGGCAGCTCAAATGAGGTGGTTTTGGCCCCATATGCTAGGTGATTTTGTGAGCTGCTTTTCGAAGATTCATTTCTCTTTCTTCTCTAGCCATTTTTTATGTAGAGTTGGTATAGATTTGAATGATGTCTGTATAACGAAGTAGCAAAATTCAGTGAGGTTTATGCTCATAATCAATGAGATTTTAATGGAAAGAAGTCATTGATTATTAGATTTGGAAAAAGCCATGGGATTTTTTTAGGGTGTGTGTGGGTGGGGAGGGTGCCCATTTATTTAGTTATTTTATGAATGAAAAGTTAAGTAGCTTGCCCAACATCATATTTCACAGTGTTGGTTCATTAACAGGATCCAAACTCCAGGTCTCCCAAATCCTATTCCAGCATTCCTTCTTCTAAAGCCATTCTACTTCAGCCATTCTGAGGTGGCTCAATCTGTTAGCAAAGTGAAACTGCCACACGTTGCTAATAATACAAAGCTCCCTTATTTCAGTTGCTTTTCGGGTGCCAAGAATTCACCAAGCATTTGACTAGAAAAGATACACCAGCTGTATTTACTTTTGACTTGTTTGCAACATTTCATTTGTACCCAGCTCCAGCAGAGCTTACGGATGTTGTTAATGAATGGTTAAGTATATATATATGTGTGTGTTCTTGACCCTTAGTACTTTCAGTTTTTTTGAGACTCCATATTTTATAATCACATATTATAGAAGACAACCAGGCATGGAGATGAATAGGGGAAAATAAATTTAGTTTGTCTTACTGCCTGAAAAGCTGCCCTCTCAACCTTCTAGAGACAAGATTGAAAGCATTGTACTCAAAACTGAGAGGACGAAGGGCCTCTTGCTTGCCATCACTTTGCTGCTTCCCAAGAATGAGAGCGAAGATTTCCTCATGGCACCAGCGAAAGCATTTGTGTCAGAAGTATTTAGTGATCTCTTCTTTGTGCCAGGTGCAGTCCTAGGTGGTTGAGTGTGTATTGTTGAACTGCAGAACTTGGGCCTGTCCTCTAAGAGCTCTTGGTTTAGCAGGGGTAGCCACCTGTAAGCAAAACAATCTATAAATAAAAATGGTGAGAAGGTCTGCGAAAGAAAAGTTCAGAGTAGTGTGATAAGGAATAATAGGGATGGAGGCCTGCTTTGGTTTAGTGATCTAGGCAAAGCTTGTGAGGAGCGCTATTTAAACTGAAACCCAAAGAAGAGCCAGCCCTGTAAGGAGTCTGGGTTGTAGAATGCGAGTTCTAGGCAGAGGGAACAAGTTCAAAGGCCCTAAGGTTGAAAAAATAAAGTTGGGGCTGTTTTGGGAACTGAAAGACTAACATGAGGGAGGGGAAGGAAGGATATGAGATGGGGATGGAAAAGCAGACAGGAACCAGGTCATGAGTAATCAGTATATTTGTCTGTATTGAATTATTTCCTTGTTGGAAGATCATTTGCTTTGTATTGAGACCTGTGTGGCATTCTGTGTATTAGAGATAGGTGAACTTTAGTTTGATTATCCCAGTCTTGAAAGTAACCCAGATGGGGTAGCAGAGAAGCAGGTTATGAGCCTACCTCATAACACTAAAGGCTTTCTAGCATTCCCTACATTTTAGCAATTCTAAAAGTCACAAAACACCACTTCTCTGGCTTAGCCCCAGTTTGCAGAACAGCTGGACCTCTGTCCCACCACAGTCCTCTAAGCCACTTTGGGAAGTCCCCTGATCACACCTCGTACATTCCCCCTACTGCCAGGTGGCCCCTGCGGTGTCATATTCTTTTCCCCTGACAGGCGGGCCCTGTGAGTCCCCAGTTCCCAATTGACCCCCCCTGGTGTGGGCTGGGCTGGCTCACTGCTTATGCCACTGTTGGCCTTTGTTACTGCTAGTTCTTGCTTTCTGATAAGCAGTATCTTTCTCTGTCCTTTTCTAATCTCTGCTCCAGCATTCCCCAACAGTTTTTTGGTTTTTTTTTTTGCTGAAGTAAGGAGAATATTTCACTTGTGTAACCAGTTCACAAAGGAGTGTTGACTTTATGTTCCCTGTCTGTTACAGGTACTGTGGTGCTACAAAGCCCCTGCTTTTATTACTGTTTCTTTATTCTTTAAACTCAGTTTGAATGGGGGCTGAGAAATGGGCTGAGAAGTACTCCCGGTTCCTGATTTAGAATCTTCCATCCCCCATTTGGAGGGAAGATTCAGCCCCTTTCTTCTTGTGTATCTTGCTTAGGAAGCATTTCTCCCTAGAAGGCATTTTCATCTTTCTCACCTTCATCCCCAAACTCCATTTTCTTCCTGAGGGAGGTTAGATATGACTGAACCTGAGAATCACAAAACTTAGACTCTCAAGCTAGGATTTTGACTCTGACCCCAAACCTTGGGGACAAATGTGTTTTAGAATTTATAACTTCTGGGGTTTAGAATGGAAATATGGCATGCTACTTTAGCATTTTGTAATCAGATACTATTTCTAAAGCAAACATATGAATATTCATACTAAGTGGGATAAACAAAGAATATAAGTGGTCTCGTGTCAGTTCAGGTTTTACTTCTAAAGAGATTTGCCATAAACTTAGAAAAAGTGTTCAGTCTTTAGACTGATTTTTGAAGTTGCATATAAAGGATTATGAACCTGTGTTCTTGTGTGTGTGCATACATATATGTGTATATGTGGACATGGTAGTTAGAATTTCTAGGCTAAATCTGAAGGTATCATAAAAACTCATTTAAAATAAAGTATTACCTTCCCTACTCCCCTGCCAATTCATCTATTAGAGTTAATGTGATTTCTGTCCTTCCTCCACACCTGGGGGAGCTATCATGAATGAATTTGATGACATGGAAGAGTATATTGGTTCAGCATAAGTCCTCCGTCCCAGTACGGCTACACCATCTGGGATGGACAGATGGACATGCCACAGGAAGACAGCAGGAACCTATAGCAGCTGCTGTTCAGAGAGATCAGACACTCTTAGAAATCCCTGCAACTTGACTATGAGCTGCACTGTGGGTGCCTGGTATGTGACCTCTGCTCACTGAGGTGACTCACGTGCAGCCTGAAGAATAAAATGCTCTTTTAAGCCAAAACTACAGGCCAAAGTTAAAAACACCAGCTGCTACAGATGCTGCATAGAGGCGCCTCTGCACACTGATATAGTTGATTCCTTCTTACCCTTTTAAACTCCTTCTTTCTCAGTATGTAGTGTTAGAATGAAAATGACAGTGGATTCATATGTCGGATCTGTCAGTCTGTGTTTACACATATACTTTGCAATACACAGTATAAGAAAACACAAGCAGAAAATGAGGTTCATGCCAGTCAAGTAAGCATTTTCTTCTGTAAGATGCTAATTCTTGATCCTTTCAACAAGAAAATGTGATACTTAATCTTCCATCCTTGAACTTCTTATGCAGAAGTACTCAAAGTGGAAAGTGAAATTGGTATGTTTTCACTGTTCTTAGAATTTTTTGAACAGTAGCTTGAAAGCTTTAATTTTACTCTATTCACCATTGTTTACATTCTAGAAAATGAAGAAGTCAAGGAAACGACTTTACGAGAGCTTAAAATGCTTCGTACTCTCAAGCAGGAAAACATCGTGGAGCTGAAGGAAGCCTTTCGTCGGAGGGGGAAATTGTACTTGGTGTTTGAGTATGTTGAAAAAGTAAGTCACTAATTGATAGTATGGAGATTTGCCTGATTCTTCTTCTTTTTTTTTTTTTTTAACTTTTATTTTATTTTTTAAAGTAATCTCTATACCCAGCGTGTGGCTCAAACTCATGACCCTGAGATCAACAGTCGCATGCTCTACCTCCTGAGCGAGCCAGGCGCCTCTGCCTGATTCTTTTATTTCGGGTTGTTTCTGACAGTATTCAAGGAGGCGTTATTATCTAGTGTGTTTTGTCAATGTACTCAAAATCTCAGTATTTTTTTTTTTTTTAAAGATTTTATTTAT